GAAGCAACATATTGACCATATATGTGGAAAACTAAACCGTTTTATATTTGCAATAAAAAAACTGAAACAAACAGTATCTGTTGAAGCTGCTTTAATGGCATACCATGGATATGTGTCGTCTGTTTTGAGCTATGGTTTGTTATTGTGGGGAGCTTCTGTTGATCTTGACAGAGTTTTTAGAGTTCAAAAGAAGTGTATTCGTGTCATTTGCAATGCTTGGTTTGATGATAGCTGTAAACCACTTTTTAAGAAGCTTAATGTTTTGCCTCTACCCTGTATGTATATAAAAGATGTATGTTTATTTGTTCACTCCAACTCCAAATATTGGACTAAACGCGTTGAAGTTATGCCCCGGCAAACTAGACAAAAATATATAAATTTATTGTACCACCCTCCTTGTCATAAGGACATTTATAAAAATAATGTATACAACATGTGCATAATTATATACAATAGTTTACCAAATGACATGAAATTTTTGAATATTAATGAATTTAAATCAAAATTGACAAAGTGGCTTATGGAACACAGCTTCTATAGTGTGAAGGAATTTTTGGCTTTTAAGAAAATTGCATGATTAGAATATTTGCACGCCTGTTCTCAGGTAGAATACTGTATCTCTTTATTTATTTTTGTGACCTTTTAAGTGTATTCTAGCAAATAAAGATCTTATCTTATCTTATCTTATCTAGGGGAAAAAAATCATGAAACGTTCTACATAAATTGGACCGTCAGTTACTGAATAGAAACTTACTAGCAAAAAAGCAATTATATATACATAAAAAAAAAAACTAATGTTAATATTATAATGGTATCTCAATGACGACACAATCAATTGCATTTGGCAGATTTGCCAGATATGTTTGATATTTTTTATTACCTTATACCAAGACTATTTCCAAAAGTAATGTTATCATAACACCACTAACACGCCATGATTACATGAACGTTACAGAATTGTGGCCCTAATATATACATAATTAAAAGGCTTGACTCACACCGTGTTGTATTCGATACTTTCGATTAATTACGATCGATACGATTCTTTTTCGTTGATCGAATTTTGTGAATATTGACATTACAGTGTCATTTGGACGTTCCGCTCGGTCGCGCGCCAGGACCTCAGGGCAATCCCATTATGATGTAGGTCAGCGGGGCGGCCGGTCACCCTCTACCACCTGCGCTGCTTCTTCATAAGCACATTTATTATTAACGCACCTTTCTTTTACTGTAATTTTGTTCGTTTGACCTGTAAAAGTAGCTGCCTAATGTTGACCGGTTACTAGGTAATCTATTCTATATACAGTCGTTAGCTTGGTAGATATCAAATTGATGTATCTAACCGTGTTAGGTATTCATAACTAAATAGAAACATCAAAACTTCTAAAAACGCCATTTGGTATTTTCACTACTTAAATGCTCCCATCATAAAAATATCAGACAGTATCTCAAATCTTTGTAACTACTGAATTGTTGTAAATGTGAGAACCGGATTGGCGCCCACCGTGTATGATTAAATTATTAATCACGGATAACGAATAACAGTTAACTAGGATAGTCTTGTTGTGATTGTTTATTAGTTAGTTACATTATTGTTTTTGCTTCTGAAACAAGTAGTAGGTAATCGTTTAGAATACCTAATTATTGATAAGCTGTCCGAAAGTTACTCAACATAATAAGGTTTTTTATTTCCCCACTACAGGGGGTTAGGCCTTCCTTATGGATAGTTAAGTAATACGGACGATGACCCTCCACGCTAGCCCAATGGAGGGTATTAACGACTGCAAATACAGCCGTGACTAACGGCTTAACGTTAATGTTTGGTCACCCTCCCCGTGGCCGCCCATCTACGAAAGTTGCTTAACCACGACTGCGGGCCGCGGTGCTTATCCGCCACGCCACTGAGCTGCCAGGAGATTTGATATTGTCCAACCAACTCGATGCCCAGTGAGAGCGAGTTGCTACAAATGAATTAAATTTTTTGCAGCGTTTGACCGCCAGCAATGTTTATCAACCGTAATTAGAAGATTTTTAACTTTTTATACACAACCCTGTGAATGGTACACTGTTACTTCCGATTTCAACAAAACAATGGTTTGTTGTTTTTTTAACATTAATATTCCTTACTCTACGTTACTTTAACCATAATCGTGGAAACACTGGACTCTACTTGCCTGGCCATTTTATTTATTACTCAACTAGTTTTTCGCCAGCGGCTTCGCTCACGTGGTCCCTAGAGAACTATTTAATGGGATAAAAACTATCGTATTATGTAAATCCGTAATCCGTTCAGTAGTTTCGGCGTGATTGACGGACAAACATCCAAACAAAGAAACTTTTACATTTATAATATTAATGGGATAATGAATAGCTAACATAATATTTATCGTGTCAATGGAACATTATTTCGAACCGGTGCCTTTATAAACGCATAGATGCATATTATTTTCTTTATAACCAACTTAAGTATGCCAGTCACGGCGCGCGATAATGGATCTGCAGACCGATAGACGCCCGGCCAACCTTACCCGCTGTATAAGAAACAGTAGTATGTATTACTAAAAGTTTCACGTGCACATCGCCTCGAGCACCATTCACTAAAGGTAATAATTAAATACAGCGGTGATGCACTGTTTACCATTGGCGTAAAAGTTAATTTAATTATGTAACACGCGTAGGGAAGTAATCCTAACAACTCTGTTGCCTACGAGTTAGTTTACATTGGTCAGTTTATGGTTAAAAGCAGGATTTTTCGTGTGAGGTTCGATGCTTGCATCACAATAGGCTTGCGGGCTGATTGTTTTTTTTTTTCTTATTGTTCCTAAATATACTGTTGAATTAAATATTACAATGCCCACAGATTCTTTATTCAACTGGTGTAGTTTCTTTTAGCCAAGGGCAGTCTGATAAAAACTGCTATCTTAGCGTTTATTTCCTAATTATGTTTTTCTATGGAAATGTTTTACTATGTGCAATAAAGTATATTTATATTCATTAATTCATATAACTTGGGGAAGACCAAAAAAGATGGATAGACTGTATGTACCTCTATAACCTCGAACATCCAGGACTAGAGATTTTTTAAGGTATTCTAAAAGATACCAGATTTATTTGACTCATGATTATCCTTTATTTTATTGATTTATTATTTACGTTAACATTGCACATGGCTGCATCTTTTCATTATTATTATTATCCCTGGGAAGACTTGTGGCATAAAAAGTAGTCACGTGTTTAATCAGGGATATGTGTTCTCACTTCTCACACTACCAGAATTTCTCACTAATGTATACTCCATTCCCTTTAGCCATACTGGTACACGATTGTGAAGATAATTACATTCACAGTAAATGCTACAAATTATGACATTCTTGCAATAATTTTGAAGATCATTACAAGATGGTGAAACTAGCAAATTGAAGGAAAGAACAGCAACGAGCAAATCGGGCTCCTACGCTGAAGATGTCTGAAGTGTTAGTTTAAGATATAGGCTTATTAAGAATGCAGTTTTTGTTTCGTTTTAGAATGTATTCTCGACTTATTAAAGTGTCCTATATTTATAGAGCATAAATTAAACAATACTGTAATCGTAATATATACCTTCGACATAAATCAACTCTTACTACAAATAAAATTTTCCTATGTTTCTAACAGTTAAAGCGTCATTTTAAATGAACTATCGGTCATTCAACGCGTTGCATTTCACTTTCGAAGTAGAACGTAAGTGTTTTCAAAAAAACGCTGTATCTCGATTAATCTTTCGATTTCTAATAACGCAGGTAGTCTCGATTTAATATATTGAAAGCAATTTGAATTTCGAGTGCATTTCTTAACGCTAATCTAGCGTGAATAGTTGTTGACCGATTAGTCTATGCTGATCAGTATCGGGTTTTAATAAATTTCTAATATTTTCCTTGTTGTTTTGAATTTAATGAACATATTGTTTTTATATGAACGTTCAGCACTAAATATGGGTTCAGATAAACGAACTTAATTAAAAATCTAGTTAAAAGATCCACATAAAGTAAAAGTACTTTATATTTTGTTCACGAGTTAGAAAGTGAATTCGGCAGACGCAGAAGCCGGCAGGCGTGACCGTGGGAACCTGGCTGCGACGTCACTAACTAACATTGATTAACCACCTTATGCCAACCACCCAAGAACCATTATCAAATGATAGAAAGATGGAATATAATACATCCGCCGAATCATACCAGACCCATCGTTGTTAAGTAGGTTACGCCACGTTCCGCCCACGCTTTTTGGTTTTACGAGAAGTTATGAATATGAACAGATTGCTTTACCTTTATAGAAATGGCAATGGCTTTACCTTATATTACACAGAATCTACCTATTTCGCATGTTTTATGTTAAACAGATAATGTAGCTCGCAAAAAAACAAGGTACATTTTTAATACCATATAGAGAAGGAAAGAAAAAGAGAATACTATACCAAAAAGAGAAAACTATACTTAATAATTGCCAATATTTATGATATTTCGTATAGTAATTTTAGGCCTCCGACTCGCAACCTTGACATTAAGTACTAAAGGTTTTTAAAACTTCCAAGGGCGCTTCATACGTCGTAAAAATAACTGTTTCCCGACTAATATAGTTCTTTAGTTTTATTTACCTAATATAATATGTTAATTAAGAAACACTAGTTACTGTAGCTTACTCTTTAAAGAATTTAACTAATCGAAACAGTACGAATACACTGAAAAATTAATAAAAATCATTGTCAATTTTTTTTTTGCCCTAAACGAACTATTGGACCGTCACTCCATAATCTTGAAGTCTTTTTCAGTGTGACGATTCTGTAAAAATAAAACAAGGAGCGAAAACAATCCTTGTTGTGTTAATTTAGTACGTTTTATGAACCAATCGCATAGTTTGTCGATTTTCACAATTGCTGATTAACGGCCTGGCTGTACGAGGCAAATGAACCTAGTACATATTAGTTAAGATTGAGATACTGATGTTCTTGTATTTGTCTTCAGACGGGCTCTGGGAAGACGTATACTATGGGCAGCGGATGGGAAGGCGAGGGGGACGGAGACGAGGATAGGCGCGGCATCATCCCACGCGCCATCCGCGACCTGTTCGCTGGCGCCGACCAGCGGGCCGAGGATGCGCGTGCGCAAGGACACCTGCCGCCAGAGTTCTCCGTGCAGGCTCAATTCATAGAGCTGTACAATGAAGATATAGTGGACCTGCTTGACCCTGCAAAAGATCCGTTTGCAAAGGTACTGCTGACACCACGTCTTGTTACTAAATGAGCCTAATTTATCCGATTATAATATATTTAAGTCTTGTAATTAGTTTCATAAACATTCGTTAAGATTTAATGAAAAATTACATTAACAATTTTAATGGACGTTTGTGCAACTTACTGTTAATCTTTCGTGATTAGGTGCAAAAGCTTCATAAAAAAAACACGACTTCGAATGTAAAAATTAGAAAATTTGTGATACGAGTTTCAACTTACACTTGATGATTATTCAAAAAAGTAGCCTACTTTATAACTAAAACCATGTGTACATTTATATAGGGAGCTCTAAGGATAACAGAAGACGGTTGCGGCGGAGTACGCATCGTAGGGGCGTCGATGCGGGCAGTCAGAAATGTCACCGAAGCATTAGGAGCGCTAAGAGCGGGTGCCCTCGCCAGAACCACTGCTGCTACTAATATGAACTCATCCTCCTCAAGGTAATAAGAGACATTACCAACATCATTTCGAGCTCATTAATACCCCAATGTATCTTTATAGACCTTTCTTATGGTTCCAAACAAACAGATACCTGTTCAAAGCTGAACTAATATGTATTAACAACTGCAGATAATATCAGACCAATGGCTTAAGTTTCTTCCGTATTGCGAAAAAAGTAGTTTTATAATAATTGTATTACTTTCTTTAACAGGTCACACGCAGTGTTTACACTATTAATGCGTCAAAGAAGACTAGCAGCCGATATGGAGGTCCAAGACAGAGAAGCAGACGCCGAAGCACCTGAACAATACGAGACACTCACAGCGAAGTTTCATTTCGTAGATCTGGCAGGATCAGAAAGGCTTAAGCGTACTGGTATGTGGAAGTGTAGTGTAGTTTTCGCTTAAAAGGGTTTGGACCTAGCTATTGCACATTATCAACTTTACTTTCCATATGAAAATGGTGGTATACCAGGTTTAAGTTCCTCTTCGCTTGATGAAATTTTATATTCCATTGTCCTCTTACTATGCGTACTCGATAAGAATAGGATCTGGTTACTGACCAACTTCACAGCTTATCTATTATTTTAGTGCAAAAATGTGCAGCAAAAAGTTTGCTAGACATTTTTTGGATTCATTTAACTTTATACATATGCTATATTATTAAATTAACAATTATCAGTATTGACACGACTTTATCAAGAATTAATAAGTTATTCTTTCTTAATTAGATTCTTGGTATTTTCTTAGATATGAAGTTGACGATTTTTGCTATAACGTTAACGCTGACCGTCCCAAAACCGTAGCCATTTTATGACGTCAGGTTCAATTACTAATGTCAGTCTATGATTATTCGTTGATTTCTGAAACAATAAATAGTTCTTGTTCCTTTTTTGCACCCCGTACACTATGAAGTTTGAAGCGCAATACGAACCAAAATTGTCATTTGACAATACAAAGGATAGTTTACCTCGCATACTATCTTTTAACTTTTTTGTTGTTAGGCGCAACAGGAGAACGTGCTAAAGAAGGAATATCGATAAACTGCGGATTACTCGCTCTCGGTAACGTGATATCAGCACTGGGCGACAAATCTCGCAAAGTACTACACGTGCCATACAGAGACTCGAAGCTAACGCGACTGCTACAGGACTCGCTCGGAGGTACATTAGCTATTACATATAAAAGATAAGAAAAGACAGATTGCATGGACACAATAGTATATCAAATTATAACATATCATGGCATTTGATTGTGAACTCTATTTTCATCAGTTTAAGGTTTAATATGGATTGTAAAAAAAATCAAAATCAAAATTTTGTTTAACCTAACATACTGCTATACTGAAACATTTTGACAAATTTTGAAGTTGATACCAATTTTAGTACTTTTATGTATTTAGAAATGTCTAAAATTGAACACGTTTGAATATCGATCTTATGTGCAGAGCAGAGCTAGATTAAAAATTAAAGATGAAATTTCTAACAAAACTAAAGTTTAAATCATTTAATATACATCTGAGAGTTATTTTTTTATACATGCATTAAGTTTACAGTTCATTATTTATAACTAAAAAGAAAACGCCATTCGATGAATTTATGATGGTATTTCAACAAATATTTTTAAGACAACTTCTCTAATTATTCAGAAATCACTAAAAACACAATTCCTATTCACCAGGGAATAGCAACACGGTAATGATAGCATGCGTATCTCCAAGTGATCGAGACTTCATGGAAACTCTGAATACGTTGAAGTACGCGAACCGCGCGAGGAACATCAAGAACAGGTGCGTCGTGAACCAAGATCTGACATCGCGCACCATACACCAGTTGCGACAGGAGGTGGCCAGACTACAGCTCGAACTCGCTGAATATAAGCAGGTTAGCTAGTCTCTATCATCTTAGAATATATTGCATGTTATAGTCAAAGAAATATAACTGCTATATCCTCGATCAGAATATCACAAATACTCAGTACCAAAATTCAGGACAATTTCTTAGATCTCGTGAAACACCCCCAAAGGTTTTGGTTTAAACAAGCTGGAGAGCTAGAATTTTATTATGTGTAGAATTTGTAAATGCTACTATTTCCGGCCTTAATAAAACCTAAAAGTATAGTTTATGAGTAGGTAGGTAGGTAGGCAGTTTGTACTTTTAGTTAGTATAATAACAACTTAATCAAAAAGCACATAGTTTTAAAATAATAGTAAATATGATAAAATAAACATACTTGAAAAGCACACAGAAAGTAAGAGGAAAAAATTCTTTTACTTACCTTATACATCTGACAAACACCCGAGTGAAGCCTAAAAATAGCTTGTTTCGCGCATTTCATTGCAAAAATCTCTAAATTAAACCTTATTTCCCAGGGCAAACGTATCATATCAGAAAACGGCGAAGAAGGATGGAGTGACGTTGTACAAGAGAATGCGATCCTTACTGGCGAGGTGGAATCATTGAGGAGAAGAGTGAAAGCCATGCAGGGCACCATTGAACAACTGTCGGCTAGAAACACCGAGTTATTGGCGGAGAAGGCGTTAGGAAACTGGGCACCGAAAGACAGTAGCCCAGAAGCTAGTGATTGTTCACTTAGTAAATTAGTACAGGTATGTGTTTGATAAAAGAATCATCGAAAAAAAAATCACTGAATATTAATACACGATAATTGTGTTTTGTTTGTATTATTTTTGTTTTTTTAATATTTTATATATAAAAATTCAAATTATTTTATTGCATATAAACTTTAAACTTTCGCTTTGTATTATATTAGATTGTATAAGCGGCCGTGGTCACGGCTGGTCGAAACGTCGGGAAATATAGGTAGGTGAAAACCTAACCATCGAAATTTATCGCGTGAATACCCGTCTTATACAATCTAATATTTTATTGCATGTCACATTCTTACAAACAAGTAATTATGTAATAATACATTTATTTAATATGATTAAATAAATTCATTATAATACGGGTGTAGACAGTACACGAAAATAAATACATATTATTTTTTTCTGGTGGTTAATTAAATAATAGTACTATTACCGATAATCATACTTTTATACTTATTACATTTATAATATTGCTTTAATTAATAATGAAAAATCAAATATTTTATACTTGTAGTCACGTGACTGCAAACAGTGCGTGACGTTACGCTCCTCTTACTCATATCAGAACTTAGAGAATTCAACCTTATGCATACATAGAACGATATTAGTTTCAGAAGGCCGTGACGTCATAGCGATTTTGAAAATGAAATGAAATTTTAGATTTAAACTTATTACACGAATAAATGATAAGTTAAAATCGATAAATACTTTTTAAGAAATTTTTAGATAAATGTCATGTTTATCTATAATAATAATAATATAAAAAGGTAGTTTTATATTTTCGATGTTTATAAAGGTAAAATAATGTCTTTTAATCTAAACTATATGACATATATTATTAAAATGCATTAAAATATGTCATATTATAAGTTCCTATTCTTTTTTTTTCTAAAGTAATAGAAAAAAATATTTAACCAATTCACTAATTCTAAATTCTTATACTGTGTAGGGATATGTGGGCGAGATAGAAGACCTCCGTGCTCAGTTAATAGAAGCTAATGCTTTGTACGAGGCGAGTCGTCGTCGCGAGCTGCAAGTGACTCGCACAAGACACGACTCCACTAACGACGCATCCTCTATATTAGACGACGCTAAACGAGAACTCGATAAGGTAATTTTAATAGCAATAAATCGGAATTGTGAGTCAAAATAATAAACTCTATATGCGTTAAAATAACGTAAAGTTGATCGAAACAGTTTTGAAAATGAAAAATTCTCTCCTTATATGGCATAAGGTTGATATTTGAGTGTCACTTAAAATCTACTCTGATAAATCTGAGTTAGCACAAATGATTTATTTTTTACTATTCATATAATTTCAAAGTACTGACTTACTCAAACCACTGTCTTATTGAACGTTTTATCACTATTTACATTGCTTTTATTTATGATTATTGTAGGAAAAAGAGATACTAGCGCGCAGTATGGGTGAGCTGGAGTTCCAAAGAAAACTAGATATGAGGGAGAGCATGACGATAGAGCGAGATGATAGAGAGCAGCGGCCAATAGGAGAGCGTGAGCGCGCGGAGGGAGAAAGTGCGGACGACTCGTCGACCTCGGATCATGGAGATGCATCTGATTCGGATGCCGAGGACTCAGAAACTAAAGGTAAGTTAGACGATTTTTTTCATGTTTTGTGCTTAAGAATTATGGATACGTAATTTCGACCACCAATAGATTATAATTATCTAATGTAATCTATGCTTACATGCAAGTAAGTGAAATCCTATTTCAGTTAGAAAGAGAAGATCAAATTCTACTCCTTATATTATATGACGCATTTATGTCATCCCCTTTTCCCCATCCAGTCTTTTCACTTGTTAATTTGGTTTCATTCATTCAATACATTTCATTCATCGATTATCATTTTCATAAATTTGAGTTATAGACGCACAGAATCTGGTAATAGATCCATTTATTTTACTTTTTTGATACAGGACAAAGAGTGCTCTCAGCTCAGTTAGCCGCTCTAAGCGAAGATATTGACACAAAAGCACGCTTAATAGAACAGCTGGAAGTGTCACAGCGGCGGCTGGCGGCGTTGAGGCAACACTACGAACAACGCCTGGACACTTTACATCATCAGATCAAAGCCACTAGTGATGAACGAGATAAGGTTCTCGCTTCAATAGGTACGATTTTCGAAACACCTTCCTTTTTCAGACATAATAACTAAGTGGCCTACTTGTGGGAATAAATATAACTCGCACAAGTAAACAACTAAGTAGTTTTTCTATGTTCAGTGAAAAAAGATAAATAAAAAATAAAGAGCTCATTCTGAGTATTTGTGCTACCTCTGTTGATCTGCATGTTTCTGTCTGAACCCCAGTCATGGCCTACATTGGCGGGACGGTTCACTCTGGAGAAAAGGCTGTCAGGTACCAAAATACTTTTCCGTCCTCAGGTGTCCAAGGTAAGGGCTCCTGGGATCTGAGTACAATGTCATTTCTGACTACCAGGCACTTCCCTTAAAAGTAAGGGTGCATCGTAAGAGGTTTATGCCCAGTTCTACAAACATCCATTAAAGTTTAATGGCAACTTCAAGCTCTAGTGAATGTTCTGTATTTAATAATTAGTATCGATAGTGTAGCCTTAATTTAATGATAATTTTAATAATTTTCAGAATCCAAAACTGCTCTGCCCCCCATCAGGCAGGGACAGCACATAAAACATTCCCCCTTACTACATAAAATAAAATAAAAATTATTAATAGATTATAACGGTAACCTTATTCGGTAGCATCCCAAGCGTCACCGCCCAGCGACAAACTAAAGCGTGTGAAGGAGGAATATGAACGTCGTGTGTCCACGATGTCACGTGAACTGAGACGGCTACAGGCGGCGCAACGTGAACACACGCGCTTACAACGTTCGCAGCAGCAGACCGCAACACAACTATTGTCGTTGCGCAACGAGCTGCAGAACATGAAGCGAGACAAGGTAACTTGTTATACAGGATTTTTTTTCTATACTTAAAGTTTTATACTATGTCCTTAACGTAAATTTGAACCCCTTTTTAAACCTACTTATATCGTAAATAAAGAAAAAATCTTCTATATAAATGTTGCTACATTATGGTCACCCTACTGTCCTCGAAGGTTAACGACCTATTTCCGTTGACATACCAACAGTTTGTTTACGGTTTAAAACATGCATGTGTAACAGAAAATATATTCAATACATACAACATGGATATTTCAATATGTTCATCTTTAAACAAAATAACTATGTCTTTGTGACGGCAACATGACTTTAACGTAATTTTCAGGTTAAGTTAGTTCAAAGAATGAGAACAGAGGCCAAACGTCACGCGCAGGCAGAAGCTGCGAGAGCCAAAGAGGTAACAAAATATTCATTAGAAACTGTTATTTAATAATTATTTATCATTTATTCTAATAATATATTATCTGCAGGTGGCACAGTTACGAAAAGAATCGCGAAAGAACGCCAACCTTATCAGATCATTGGAAGCTGAAACTAAACTCAAAGAACAGGTAACAAAACATTAATATTAATGGTACGTTATAAAAGTATCGCTTCCATAATCTTGCTTACTCCAAAGAGACAATAAAGAATTAAACTGAAATAAAATATAATTATGATCCTCTCTTCATATTAATTTTTATGGCAAAGGAATTTTAGCCCATACAGGCAGGCTTCTCTTCGGCTAATAATCTGTTTTCATATGATTTTTCAGTATAGTAAACTAATCAATTTATGAAGGAATTAATGTAGTCAACAGGAAAAAACTGGCCCGTTTGCGTTCCCGCCCTAAATTTACACAACACTTTTCTCGTTTACGACCTGTGCGCCATATCCTTACATTGAATTGTCATTTATTTATTTTCATGACACTGTCTCGCAAAATAACACCACTATTTGAAGCAAGAGTCACTCTAAACCATAAAAAATGCAATAAAATAAGATGACAGTAATGACTACCGATTCGCGCCAAAAACTTTTATATTTTTGACTAATAGTGCTGCCATTATTTTGTTCAGTCGACTATCTTCAAATTAAAGATTGGCTTGTCAGCTACTGTAATCGTTCATTAACATTTAAATTTTAATAATAACCATTTCAAACGAAAAAATCTATATAGATTTGTGTCTCGTCTTAAAACGAAAAAATCTATATAGATTTGTGTCTCGTCTTAAAACGAAAAAAAAAAATAAAGAATTATTACTTGTACATTCCGAAATATGAGTCATGGACGTTAAAAACGTGTAAAATTAGTCTGCATTTTTAGCATTAATATTGAGTATATTGTAGGTGTTGAAACGGAAACAAGAGGAGGTGTCACTACTGAGGCGTGGTCACAGAGACAAACTAAGTAGTCGAGCCGCTGGCAGGTTACACGGTAGGTGATGTATTCATTGCGTTTTACATTATTTTGGGTTAGTTGCACCAACTTATTTATCAATAATAAACATGTTAAAGTACCGGTTAACTAAATAATAATGAATTATAATTTCGCAATGTTTGGATGACATCATAACTTTTTACTGTATTTACAATTCACCTTATTTCCTATTTCTATTCCCTTTTTTTTTTACACATATATAATGTTAATCGTAGCTTTTGTTGAAAATAAGTCTTTCTTACGTCGCGTTAAATATATTCTATACCGCTTAAGTCTTATCCTTATTGACAAAGACTTATTTTATATTTTTCTTGTATAAATCAAAATTTTGACAAAGTTTTTGGATAGCAGCTGTACAGTCGGCCAAGAAAGTGGTCTACCACCCTAAGGTTGAATTTCGCGTGTTACGTCAACTAACAACAAGGTTGATTTTCCGTAGCATTAATTTTTGACACGTCAAGTACACGTCATTATTGCTATCTTCATCATTTTGACGTAACCTTTGACAGTAATTATCTATACCTATAATAAAAATGTAACAAGGTTACATTTGTAAGATATTTTGCAAAAAAAATATATGGACGGCCTTCATAAGACTAATAGAAGCCAAAAATATTTTTTTTTCTGTCTGTCTGTTTGTATGTATAAATACTTTAGAGTTAGAATATCGTAAATAAATTCTTATAGTCTACAAATATCTTACATTAGAATGTAGATTAATTATATTTTAATACAGATTAAAAAAATCAGTAGGTAGTGAAATGCTATGCGTAAGAAGCTATGCGTGTTATAGGCCTGAATATACTGAGATAACGGATAACAGAAATGAATAGCGACGAAAAACATATTGCGCCGACCCATAGCTTAGTGCGAGACAAGGGCTAAAACTAGAAGAGATGGTGAAAATGCTAATTCTTTGGTTGTTAAAAAATATATACAATTCTTTTATAAAATTATAATTCTTAAAATCTTGTGTAGCCGCCATCTGCCTCTATAACAGCTTGGAGACGTTCCCTCATCGAGCCCACCAGTCTTGAGCAGATATCAGACCCACGTGTTTCCTCCCAAACCTCATTGCAGTGCCCTTGTAGTGCTTCTGCTGTTCGTTCATTACGGTTACACCATCTCTGAACCGTAAGACCTCACATATTTTCAATAGGGTTGAGATCTGGCGATTTTGCAGGCCATGGTATCAAGTTTATTTCCGGATGTGCATCAAACCAAGCACGTGTTACCCTTGCTTTATGTAAGGGACAGTTATCCTGTAAATAATTAAATTGACGCATTTCATTTTCTGGTTAAACGTTCCGGACGGATGGCAACATAGCATTTTGGAGAACATTAACATAATCTGATGCCGTTGCTCGTGGTGGCAAAAAGGTCAAGTCTCCAACACCATCAGCAGTCATCCATCCATACAAATTTACCGAGATACGACCCGATTCTCTATTTGGCACGACATGATTTTGCGTGTATCGCGTTTTATTGAATCGCCAAAGGTGTAGACGCCCGTGTTGACTGGATTTAAAAGTTTTCTCGTCACAGAAAACAGTGTTACTCCAATCAAAATCCAAATATTCTATGTCGAAATTTAATCTGGCCATTCTATGAGCGTCAGTCATATAAATTTTCTTTGCATAACGCCTGTGATGTAAGCCCATGTAATGTAAATGGTTTCTAATGGTTTGGAGAGTCACGTCAAATAGGTCGTCAAAATAACCCGTTGGTATAAAGCCAGATTCCTCATAAATCCGTCTCATGAAGACTCACTGAGTATCTGATATTTCAGGTTTACGACCGCTACGACTCCGAGCGTTCAAATTCCCCTCCTCGCTTTCTCGTCTTATCCAAAGACGGACAGCTTGTCTCTATAATCAAAAATAAAATATGAACAGAATAAATAAAATAAAAAATTTACACTCGGACTTGGTCTGAGATTTTACATTAAACTCACGTCAGACATAATAATACTTACCGACACATTTAATTCTCTAGAAATCTCACTAATATTCAAACCATCATTGTGTAATGCGATTATTTGTGCTCTTTCGTTAATGGATAAATTTCGGGGCATTGTAGTGTAAATTAATTAGGAAAATACCTACGGAAAATGCCGAGAAAATATTTGACATGAATTGTCAAGTGATATATTCTTTTTCAGTAAAAGAGTTTTCGTAACAAAATAGTTTCCACTTTGAAGTGACCTACTTAAATTTTAAATTTATGAAATATTGTGAAGACTATTTGTTGTTGCAAATTATTATCTAAGTTGCCTAATTGCCTAATGCATAGGCTGCAAAGGTCAAAATAACATTTGTGCTCTACGACAACACGTCAGCATTGTGCATCTCTTTTATTGTTTGTATGCAATTCTAAGATTCGCCTTTAGCGATGCTTTAAAGACACGGGAAATATTGTCAAAACTGGTAGACCACTTTCTTGGCCGACCGTACATGATATAATCACTTTTTATATACTTATAGAGGCTACGTGTGCTGGGATATTACGTGGATTAAAAGTAGCCTTATCACATCATCATCATCAGCTCTTTTACGTCCCCACTGCAGGGGCTCAGACCTTCCTTATGGATGGTTAAGGAGGATGGGCCCTGACCCTCCACACTGGCCCAATGCGGATTGGAGGGTATTAACGACTGCAAATACAGAAAGTTGCCTGTATTCAAAATACTCAAAGTTAATGCTATTTGTTGAAGCGGATGTGACGACAAAGTCTACGTTTAAATATTTCGTTGTTAGAAAAAGTTAAGATCAGTGCAAGAACATTAATGTATTATGTAGAAAAAAATTTAAACAGATTTTTATTTTAATGATGGTTTAGACTTTTATTTTGGTTTTATCAATTTAGTCTAAACTAAATGTTTGTCAAAACAAAATATATTTTGAAAAAAAAAATCGATTTCCATTTAAATTGTCATATCGGCTTTGTCGACATTGATGTCACGACAATGTTCGTAATTGTTACTCAATTCCATCATATATTAGCCGGGTGTTTTTTTTTTAGTTAATCACATAAAATAATTTTTTAATTTGCATATTAGTGAAAGAATTATGTAAAAATAATAATCACGGATATGTATACCTATAACGTATACAGAACGTAGCCGCAAGAGTCGCATGGCGGCGTGCCGCGAGGCGTGGGCCAAGCTGGAGTGCTGGGTGTCGCGGTCGTGCGCGGCGCGCAGCACGCTGGCCGAGCTGGAGCAGCAGCTGGAGCAGCAGCTGCGGCAGCGCGACCGCGCCATCCGCGACCCCGCGCCCGACCCCGACGCGGACCACCTGCTGCGCTACCTGCGCGCCGCCATCGCCGACACGCAGACGCAGATCATGCAGATAGAGGTACAAACACACTTCAAACTTTCTTAGCTATCGCTTCGCTTGAGTGCCGTGCGAGGGCGGAGTGATAGGGGTGCAGCAATAAACTAAAGCTTCTAAACATCATCTGAGTGAGAGCATCTACTCACAACCTACCCTCTTTTCGCTTCGGCGGCAAAAGTTGCTTGTCTATCGGTTTATAACAAAATCGTACCTTTTGGAGGAAAATGCTGCCACGCGATCGCTAATCAGCGATGTCAACTCCGGAGAGAAGATAGGTCAAGGGCCGTCGTGATATTGGCGCGCCACCCACGCGTTCGACGTCACGACAACACCAATGCCGAAGTCAGCTCTCTCGAACTCCGCTAATCTCGAAAAGACCGGCTGTCATCCGGCACAGTGACGAGCAATTTCAATTTTGACAATTCCTGTCAGACTAACATTTTTTTTAATGAAGGGAACGATTTATTAAGCCCACCTGTCGTTGACACACATGTGTCAAATATTCTATGTAACAAAATAAATTATAACACCCAACCGCATAAACTTTAGTTACTCCGTAATTAAGGCGTTTGCATCAGGGCTGAAATATCAGGAATTCAATAAAAAGAAGGTACATGGTAGCAATTCCGTTTTTAAAAATCTTATGTTGAGTGTTATGAATGACCATGTAAATTTAAAACAACAGATTTTAACTATATTTTATTTTTGTGATTTTAACTTGCTATTTATTGCATGCCATGACGGAACATCGTGTGACGTCACATTTCAATAAACTAAACGTCAGTCTTTACAGATGTGACTATTTGTTTCCGCGGGACAATTCAAATTAATGAATAAAAATGTTCTTCCTTTATTTGATAACACTTTTTGGCGCAAAATACATCTAATAGTAGTTTCATATCATCATATGAAAGTTTTGAAATACTTTTCCCAAATTCAAATCCCGGCATATGTTGGGCAACCAGGAGCTACAATACGCTACAACCATATGTTGGAGCGTAATCGGCCAATCCTCGTCTCTGACGCCCTCCAAGTGTGACAGACACGGAAACCGTCTGCATTGTATTTTATATTTATGTGTATAAATATATATGTGCGGTTCATTGTAGCGTATATAAGTATAATATAATATATAAGTAATTAATGACATACTTCTATTTTGTAGGAGGAGAACGACGAGAACGAATTAACTCAGTTGCTAGAGTTAGTGCAATCAGCGGAAATAGGTCGCTACACGTTGGAGCGGCTAGCGGCATTAGCGCTGCAGCACGCGCAGGATGCGGCGCGCGCGCGTGCGCTACTAACGCAAACTAACGCGCAACTCAAGGAGGTCAGAGTTTTAATAATAATAATAATAAATGGCTTTATTTCACATAAAATGTAGTTTTAACAATACAGTTAACAATGTCTCTTTTTAGATAATAAGTATCTGTATCAAGAGACATTGCTCTTCTATAGCTGTAATACATATTGTTTTACAATTACATATAAAATATTTCAAACCTTCAAAAATAAAAAGTAAAAAAAACATTAGCATTTCATTGATTCTATTAAATATTTATAAAGCATGCAGGTAGGTTAGTAACATATGTTTATGCAGTTTATAGTTACTTATACTAAAACTGGTTAGATCGTAGTGTTGTTCGATGTAATGAAGTGATTTATTTAATTATGTAGCTTTAAACTGAGCAGAAAAACTGAATAGTAGTGTCAACATTTTCCTTTTATTTATTATTTATATTTTGCATACGAAATAATGTCTTTCAAAGTGAAACACACGTTTATTAAACTGATAACGTTGACTAATACTAATAAGTGCATGCGATTTCGACTTTGACTGATATTCACTAAAAATATTTATAATATGTTTCTGTGACGCGTTTCACAGATGGTGTTCGGCATTTTTAAAGCTTATGGTATTTGTTTGTCTCCTTAGATGGAAGAGAATTCCGAACGTGCTGCGAGCGCGCTTAGAGCGGCGGGCGGTGGCGACCAGAACTTAAACGCGTGGGGAACACCGCACGCGCTCGCCGCGCTGCTCGCGCACGTGTCCTCCGGCACGTGCACGCGCGCAGTCTCCCCTGTGGACAGGTAAATATTCATCATCATCATCGGCAGCTCTTTAACAACCCTTCATAGATGGTTAAGAAGGATGGGCCATGACCCTCCACGCTGGTCCAATGCGATTCACAAAGTATTAACGACTGCAAATGCTGCTGGGAATCAGTCCCAGCAGCATTTGCAGACTTACGGTGCCTTCCGAAGCACGGAGTAGCACGTGATATTAAAAAAATTTTGGTCACCCATCCCGTGACCGACCCTTGCGAAAGTTGCTTAACAACAACGATGGCGGGCCGCTGCGCTTGTCCAGTACGCCACCGGGCTACTCACTGAGGTAACGATTACTTGTACGAAATAGCATGATACCTGATGGACTATTTATTATATTTCTACGAAGACGAAATTTCGTCTTTTCGAAATGTTAACACGACACCAAGGAAACGCATTTTTGGATAATATATGAAGCATCGAAGGTAGTACCTGCCTCTGCCTATTAGAATCATATCCAGGAAGATTATCGCTGTTCCCGGATATGATTTTAACAAAATTATAAGAATTTTTCGAAATTTTCCAAATTTACGTTCAAGGACAAATAAAATAGGCCCTCAGTTATCACGTTAATTCACATGAAAGGTGTCATTTAAAAGGTGTATAACTACATTTAAATTACTAGTCAAAACGGAAACAGCAGTCTGTACATTAATACTACTATATAATCGAACACATAATACATTTTAAGAATTATTTGTGATTCTTAACATAGACATATGTAACTACTGAGAACTAACAGTCGGGTTTCGATCTCTTTTTTCTTTTAATTAAACTCTAATTGATGTTGCGTATCTTTAAAAACTCGTTCGAGCTAATGAAGATCAACAAGGTTGTTGTAAAAAAAATGGACAATTACCACTACAATCTGTGTTATACTGTACATAATTTTTTTTTCGCTATTTTTTTTTTCATTAACAGTTCATTACAAGACACACATCGAGCATCAAACGGCGTTCGTGAAGTAGCTACCGCACCTGCATCTCCTCCCGATGACAATTTTAACTCGCCTTTCCAGAGAAACACGTAAGTATCTGCTTCGATAATATGTTAAAAATATATAATTACAATTTCAGAAGTTAAAATTATATACAAGTGATTTTTTTAATTCATGGTGGTAAAAGCAACATATATATAAATAATACAATACAAAAATAAATTAAATCTATACTTTTTGGGACCTTTTTACGTCCGTGAAAATGCCGTCCGCCATTTCATGATGTCACTTCGATATGTAAACAAAAAACAGACATTAGAAAAAAATACAATCAAACAAGTTTCATTTTACGATATTACTTCAAAATAGAAAAAGGAATTAAAAAGGAAGGAGCAGCGCTATCTAGGAATCTCTTTTATTATAAAAAGGCTGTTTACTTATCTAAAAGGTGCAAAAATGTTTATGCTGTCGTCAAAACGTCACACCATGACGGGTCGTCGTTCGGGTCACGTAATACACTAAAGTTAATTATAATTTAAAAAGATAATCATGGTATTTTCTTATTAATAGAATTTTAATGTTAATCGAAATATCAATGTTTATTTCAATGTAAATCTTAGTTTTTATGCAATTGTGTAAAACAATATTCACTATACTATACTATACCCTAGTTATTATGTTTAAATTTATTTTTATAATGCCAATTATGAATTATGAAAAGAACAAGCATTGTTGTTAGCTATCTAGCCCTGCGATGTTATTAATTTTTCACAGCTAACCCTGTATATAATTGTCTTTCTGTCAGCGTTCGTCGAGGATCAGTACGTTTGCGCGATTTAGGTGTATACGGACGGGATGAAGATCCTATGACGCAGTCACTTGTTGAAACCGCACCACCAAGACCTGCTCCTTTGAGTCGAGTACCCAGCGCCCCGGGAAGCCTAAGGTCAGTTACTTTTTGTAACATCGTTTTTATAACCATTACAAACTCGTAGCACAGAATACTTAATAGTACAGTTAAGATACAATTGATTTGGCTCACCGATGTACCTGCGCAGTATTCTAGATTTCGAAGAGCAGCAAATATTGTATCCCGCCGTTGGGCAATCCACCAGTAACCAGTTAACTTACGCGTGTGGGTGAGATCACTTCTTGGTTATTTCAACAACATTTATAAATTCTAATCATACGTTCGGTCATCGTCGGAATTGGTAGATCGACTCTTTATCCACACGAGGATTCATCATGGGCCATATTATTTGGAACTTATTGTACAGGGTACACATAAATAGCGAGCCTATTACTACTTAATAAGGTGCAAATTCAGCCTACAAGATTCGTATCTTTTTTTCGCATTTCTCCAACCCTTTGATGGGTATTTGCATTACATTCTTGCACGCGTAGCAAGTCGAACACGAAAACGCTTTGTCTACCCCCAAATGTCACTTTTCTCGTACAATATCTCACTCTCGATGCAAAATTGACGTTTTGTGTAGACAAAGCGTTTCTCGAGTTAATCATACCACTGGTGTTGGAGTGCAATAAAATTATATTTAATTATGTCTACCGATAGACCAATACGTATACCATTCCTGTTCCGAGGAAAACTAATAAGAGCTTTATACAGAAGTATTAAGTTAGGTATTGGTTCAGGGGGCTGAGTCCATTGGGCGGGGCTTCGTCACCAGTTTCGCCCCGACGTGTACCCGATAGTCCGCGATTACCAAGACGTCATCCACCGCCCGCACCTACTAAACCATCATTGTAAGTAAACATACACTATGTTATATAACATACACATACACATAAATTACTATAAATATAAAACGACAAACTTAGCCAAATTGTCGACTAAAGTAAATTATTGACAAGTATGAGTTGTAACTATCATTTTTCGTTTTCTATCTGCCTATACCTCTGTCGCAATGACTGACAAATTCAACGTATCCGGTGGGAAATATACATTACATACATCGAATGTTTATTAAAAATTACTGACCACCGGACATTAGTATTATTCGTATTCGTAAACCTAAACTCATAAAATAATACAAATACCTAGTATAGATAAAGTTTAAAATAAGTTAACTGTGACCTCTTCTTAGACAGGCTTAGTTTATTCAAATTATTAGTTTCAATTTCAAAATTCGATGCTAAAAACTACTTCCTATCAAATATATTTCAAAATCGTATAATTCTTTTTTGAATCTTAAATAAGTATATAGATTATTGAAATTATTATATGTCTTAGTGCTTGAGTAGATATATCTATCTCTGTCCCTCTTCCCTCCGCAATCTCGCCACTGTCCGCATGGTACACTGCTTGGGTATATGTGCTATAGATGATGTAGGGGTTAGATGGTATGTAGTTCGATTTATGTAACATATTGTGTTTTAAATGTATGACAAAATTACAGTCTATAAAGTCACGAAACATATAAAGTCAATGTAGAAATATTAATTTTTCCTTTTCGCTTCGAATTTTTATAGATATACTTTTATATATCTACACAATGTTAATAATGCATATTCGTATATGTTATTATAAAGTCTCTACTCAAATTGCTGTAGTTGCTGTTAGAAATCTTTCTTATACCTTTTACGTAAGAATATCTTTATATGTTTCACTGAAATCTTTCTGTGTAATGTAGTTTTGCAATACGTATAAGTAGTGTTTATAATAGATTTCTGGGTAATCTTCATTACATCGGTGTTGTCTAAATCACATGTGCAATGTATCAACTGTTTAGCACCAAACTATTCCACATCTAAATTAACTTCAGGTTGCAACAATTTTCGTCTTTAATTGAATTCCCAATAGTTTGTTGTACTGCTCAGCTCTACATGAGGAATGATTAACTCTATTCTCGATCTACTATCTAGCAGTTTATTTAAAATTGAACTCTGTGGAGTACTGCATAAAGTGAAATATTAATATAACTCGCTGCATTGCACACGTGATATGACGAACGGTGTGCGAGAAGCGGGAAAGGTGGTGGTAAGTGGGCGCCGCGGCGGCTCACTTTTGACTGGTTAATTGCAGCCTGCTGACTGAACTCTCCATAGTCGAGGACTGACGTGCCCCAAGCCCGCCTTCTCTACGGTAACCCGTGGCCCTGACGCCGGTAGCATTCCCACGCTATAGCCTAGCCAATGTATAACGTTTGATGGCATAAGTATTTGTAAAAGTCACCTGCATATTCACATTGTAAATCAGTAATATCCGGCTCGAAGGACCAAACTTTTAAAACAGATGATCCGTTTACAAATACTCGATTAGCCATCATTTCGGAATATTGAAAGCATGCCTCGTATATAGCTTGTTATATGTTTAAAAGGGATTCAAGAATATAGACAAATACAATATAAAAAAGATTTGCTCAGTAAATGTTGCCAAAACCAAATGACTTATCAAAACGACGCTCTGAAAAAGGAGTTCCAACGAATGTTAGTTATATTAGATTAATTAAAAAATATTCGCCAAAGTAGTAACGAAGTATACATTTAAACTAGTTATGGCTTTATAAATATTTGTATGAAATGTTAACTTACATACTTTTATTTATTAATTAACAACTTAATCGGGTAACGTGTCAATTTATCAACTAATAACTAATAGTGCAGCTGATTAGCTTAAGGAACGCATTTTATATGACTTAGCTTTAAGTTGTGGTCACAATGTATGTAACTTTTAGCTTTAACAAGCAATGTATATAGATGTAAAGTAACTTAAGTAATAAATTGTTGGAAGTAAGCTTGTCTTTGTTTGCATTACCTAGCATGCCGCACTGCAGAACGTTGTATTTAAAGCATGAGAACAATAATATGAAATCGCAACGTAAGCTAAATGCACGTCACGGATTTAATAGTTTAGGTAGAATGTCAAAAGATGACGCTAGTGTTCTAACTTGATGAATATTATCCAATAAAATATATTTTTGATTAAATTTGAATAATATTAAGTGTGTATGTGTGATATGCATTGTATCAGATCTCCTACTGTAATCATCAATTACTGAGATGTAACTATGAGAGAGTTAATTGAAAAAATCTAGACCTTGAGGCAACCGGTCTGTATTGAAATCAAAAATATTTTAAAGTTTATAATAAAAAAAAATATTGTTATGTAACCAGAATATTTATTTTTGTTAAGGTTAGTTAATTTAACGCTTAACGGCAGTTTAGAAACCGCTGGTTTTCGGAAACTCTAATATATAATTATTTACATTTCGTATAAAAGACTAGACATTGTCGACCAGTGTGTTCCGACCTTTTTGTTGTCCGCATAAGCTTCGATCAACAATACAACTAGATGCCTGGTCAGAGTCTCAACAATGGTCGAAGAAATAATGCCTCAATTCAAATCGGCCTCACCTCACTACGGCGCCGACGTTCGGACGTGTTACGATGCCACAGTGCGTATTAAAACTGCATAAATAATTATCGGAATAAGAACATATCTGTTGGAATATCAATTATTTTGTTTTAAATATCATTTAACAAAGTCTATAATAAATAATCAAAGTATTTAAAAAAAATAACAGTTTTGTTTCTGAGCCAACCTATGCGCCAATATGGCAAATATTGACAAACATTTTACCAAATATTCGATGTTCTAAGACAGCACATAGTACATGGAAGTCAAATGAAATTGACAACAGGACTCAATACTTAGCTAGTCCCGGAGCTCAGTTATCGCCTGAAATATTATCACAGAATATACTATGTGGTATTAAGTACTTGGTTGTCGCAATGTCCCATACATTGCGACATTGTCCAATACATTGGCCGTATTTGAGTATTGTTTTAGTATGCGAGGCGTTATCTAGTTGTATTGTTAATCGAAGCGCATTAGCTATAATCTTGCTAAAGCTGGTGATAAAAGTCAAAGACACGAAAGTATTATGCCGATTTAAAGAAAACGATATGTATGACTAGCCATAGGAATCTGAATCGTTACCGCGTTGTAGCTTATTGTACGAGGTGGAGTCGGCGATATATAGCGGCCTGTACAACAAAAGAGTGCTACGCGAAACGATACAGGCTCTATGGATAGCAATAAGTATCGTTTTCTCTCGATATTCACATAATAACTGTATCAGTGTCCGTTTATTTGCCTGTTATGGGAACAGACTAAATCACATATGTTATGCTAGACTCACTGAATTATAGAAGACTAACAGGAAGATTATAAATGTTACATAGAAGGCATAAATCTTTATTTAAAACTTAATTGTTGATTTCATAAGAAAGTAAGTACATTGTTTGAATAATTACGAATATTTAGCATTGATTGCATGTCTGTCACCCATTCCATATTGGTAATATTATTTTGCTTGTTTGTTACTAACAATATCCATGTTTTGTTTATGGTACCGCTTATATACATTGTTTGTGCGTCATTTCACAAGACTCATCTCTACAAAAACTCAAGATGCATACCGACTATTTGAAAGAACAACACTTTTTCTATATTTATTCTTTCTTCAAAAATGAATAAATAAGATGTAGATTGTTCAAATGTATTTCTAAAAAAATATTAACAAATTGGAGAAACAATCATTTTCACCTGTCACAACATATCTGAAATCATAGTTTAATACACACATATATATTAATTTAGATCACTATGTAGCTAACGGTCAAATCATTTGAACAAAGGCATATTTCATAACTAATCTTTCAAAAATTCTTTCCATCTTGCAGAACAAATAACATTAAATGCGAAACAAAAAAATCTGAAAATTAAATAGACTGTGAATAAAATCCTTATAAAGCAATTGGGTCAAAATAAGGACATGGTGCTTGGTATACATTCAATTCGTGCTCGAGAATTATCGTACTTAAGCCCTATTTACTCTCAATGAGTACAATACAGAGTTGAGTTTTCTTATTTCTCTGGCGATTTAGATTCCTTTTGGCGTTCTAAAGCCGTTAAAACCTAACCACAATTAGGACTTCACTCGCCAGAGAGGCAAGTTAACACCCCACTGTACTAATTGAAGTATAAATTGATCTGAAGAGTACAGTATATATATTTTATCGAATCTCCATTTGAGTTTTGAGTAAATCCATCGTATCAAACTACCGACTAATTCATAGGGGATACATAGCACATACAAACATGGAGGTGAAACATCTCATTACTCTTAACAGTATTCGATTGTTTACGTTGTGCGGCTTCAGCTAACGCTTGCGACCACTTGCGACTAACACAGAGACAGCGTGATCGTGAACACGCCGCCCGCGTCACCGGGGGCGACGAGACGGGCACGTGACGACGACGTGTTTTTGCGGCTCGCCGGTGCGCCTGATAGCTCACCTCAAGGAGTCGTCAAGGAAGTGCCACTGAAGGTAAAAAGATTATGAATAACGCTTGATTTGGTGACTGACGAATTTGGAAATGTACTTTTTGGTGTAGAAAATTAAAACTGAAGTTGAATTTCTGTGTAATCGTAATCTTAGCAGGTCTGAAATACTGATCCGATCATGAAAATTCTTTCATCTACGGGAAGCTACATCATATGTAGGCGCTATAAATAACGTGGGCGAAGTCGCAGGAAAACCGCTAGTCTTTTATATAAGGAATGTTAAATTCACCGTTAACTATAAAGTTGTGTTATACCATGAAATAATATCTGATGTTAATCGATCATTAAATAATCTGCCCATGCCGTACCTTTGTACAGCACCTTCTAGAATTTTCTAATTGTGAAATCATCAACTTTCGTATTTGTATCATTTTTTTTTTTTGTGATTTCTGTCAAAGAACGTTTGTGTGAAAATTTCTTGTGAATGTTGACATCTGATTGTACGGTATTGCCTATCCGTCGTCATAATAAATATATATTTTACGAATATACTCGTACTCGTAAATATATATTTTACGAATATTATGAATGTTGACATCTGACTGTACGGTATTGCCTATCCGTCGTCATAATAAATATATATTTTACGAATATACTCGTACTCGTAAATATATATTTTACGAATATTATGAATGTTGACATCTGACTGTACGGTATTGCCTATCCGTCGTCATATTCTTTTTTGTGAAATACAGCTGCGTATCGCTTTGAGGATTCCGTGGCGTCCTATCGCACGAACACCCGATTTCTTTCTCGCTTTAGTAAATGACAGTTACTTTCAGCCCAGTATGTCCAATTCCTTAAAAGTCCCGTTCTCAAGATGCTCGATTCCGGCAATGTGCAGTTCCCAAAATGTCCACTTCCCGAAATTGTCCAATTCTCTCAGTGTACAATCTACTATTATGAGGAAAAATAATATGTAGCAAGGTTAACATTTTTACCAAAGTCTATGACGACTTATTCAACTACCTTGCTATATATTATTCATTTGTATCAACAAACCCATTTGATACAAGATTGGACATTTCAACATTTTGGAAATTGAACAATCCGTGCTGATATATTCACTAAGATTATAGCAATAACATACAAATAGCATTCTTACCTTCCTATCAATAATATTTTCTTTTGGGACCAGAGGATCGGTGCAGCTGGAGCGAACAGTTCATCCTGGTTATCGTGTACACACGTGTGTGAGGGGCACGCGGGCGCGGCGCTCGCTCTCGCTGCCACTAACCATCTCCTATACAGTGGAGGCGTCGGTGAGTTGTAAACACGATATTTACCCAGGAGTTATTTTGTTGAAAATGGGACGTTAGAGTGGGAGTCACGCCTTTGAGCACTAAAGACATAATATTTCTGTTTTATTTGTTGTTGAATCTGTAGATTTCATTTATTTTAGCTGTTTCAATATCTAAAGTTTTAATTATAAAATATGGTTCATAATTTTTATTTTAAATAAATATAATTTACGAATATACTCTTAAATTAAACCTTATATTCTAATAATATTATGTTATATGCACAAAGCATATGATTGCAACTGTCTTCGTCATGTCGTTTTAAGATTGGGTAAAGTAGTAAGACTTAAGTGATCGACTTGATGCATATGGTTCTAATGATACACGTTATATTATAATCAATTTGGTTTTTCATTCGCTGTGCTTATTTTACTGGGTTATACGAAGAAGCTTCCTCAAAACCATTTAACTTAGCTCTGACCGGCTAACCCATTACACAGTTTCATATAAATAAAAGTTAAATTATCCGTTTAGAGTTCGCGCCATCTATTGACAGGCAAAACAAATGAAACTCCTTTGTGTGAAGTATCTTAAGACAAAGTACCTGTTTGTGTTTAGATCGCACAGTCCGCGGCTGGGACCTGATGGCGGGCGTGGAGGCGTGGCGGGGGTGGTGTGGGGGCGCGGTGAGTGCACTGGCGGCGGGGGACGGGGGCGACGCGGGGGGGCGGCTGCTGCTCGCCGCCGCCGGGGCCGCCGTCAGACTGTTCGACGTACGCAGCCGGACGCCCGTCAACACGCTCTGGTAACTGCCACGAGGAAATCTAACGTTTACATTAATCTCAATTAAATAAATACCGTTGCTGGCGACTGTACCAGCATTCCTGGAGTGGGGATTGAGTAAATAAAAATCTATTCTAGAAACATGCGAGAAAGATAGAGCCCTAGATGTGGGCTATGAAAAATGAACTGTATGTTTAGGTTTATTAGCAAAAAAAAACTTAATACGTAATATTTATCTAAGACAATTATTATCAAAATGTACCTTGCAAACACCTTATAATTTGGATGAAGAATATAGGCCGAAGAACAGTAAAAGTGTTTGGAACATGCGTACGTACCTTGCTTCCTCTCCCTCTT